TCAACTCCCAGAATTCCCCAGCCCGGAAGCTGGCTGGGGAATTCTGGGAGTTGAAGTCCACCCATCTTCACGTGGCCAAGGTTGAGAAACACTGCTCTACAGTCTTCCAGACTCTGGTTTTGAAGCCAGAATCTCTTGTTCCCTTGGATCCCTAATGCTTCCAGATGTTATCTGGATGTTCTGGACTTAAAGAATGTTTCAGCCCCTTTTGGGTAGATAACAGTTCCTGCGTAACTCCATCAAGGTCTTCTTCCTTACTCCCTACAGGTTGTGCAGTTGAAGACCTGACCCTTTTTAACATCCCCTCTGGCCCAGGTAAAAGTGGGGTAGGGCTTCCATGGCACAGGGGGGCACCCTCTTGATATTTTTGACACCCTCCCGGGGACATCCCTGAGTGCAACCCTTGTGGCCTCCAGGAAGGGGGTGCCTCCTTCGGTGCTTGGCATCCAAGCTGCCTAAATTGATTCCAGCCACAGAATTCACCTTTTCCTCCCTGCAGAGAGAGGGCAAACTGCCACCAACCTTGGACTGTCAGGTTTTGGCACCTCTGGGACCGATCCTTCATTTCCACCAGGAGCCTCTGAAGGTCCTCCAGGTTTCCTTCCGAAACCGCCCGGAAGAGGTATTTTTTCAGCTTCTTGCGATAATTGTTCTGCTGAGCATTGTGCGTTGAATTGGTGCTGCACGAAAGGGAAAACATGAGGAGGTTGTTCAGGGCTAAGACAAGCAGGGGCCAAGGCAAATCTCTTTCCTTTTGGGGAAGGCAACCCTCTTTTGGCAAGAGGAGCTTATCAGACTGGCCTACCTAAGCAGCATGTTGTGAAACGAACAGCAAAAGTGCTCAGAAGGCCCTGTACAAACGCTAAGAAGCTTGGGAGAGGCTATCATTAAATATATATATACCAGTAGTCCTCGACTTATAACCACAATTGGGACCGGAACTTCCATTGCTAAGTGATACGGTCATTAAGTGAGTCGTGCCGATTTTACAACCTTTTTTGCCATGGTTGTTAAGCGAAGCTGGCATCCCCCATTGACTTTGCTTGTCGGAAGCCATCTGGGAAGGTCACAAATGGCAATCATGTGACCCTGGGACACTGCAACTATCATAGATGCATGCTGGTTGCCAAGTGCCCAAATTTTGATCAGAGGACCGTGGGGATGCTGCAACAGTCATAAGTGCAAGGGCCAGTCATAAGTCACTTTTTCCAGCCCCATCGTAACTTCAAACAGTCATTAAACGAATGGTCATAAGTCAAGGACTACCTGTATACATATTTTAAAACTGGACACATTTTAGTACTCAGATTGGCAACCGGAGGTATCTGTAACAGGGGGGTAAAAAAAATCAAGATGGCAGCTGTGCAGGGGTGTCTCCAGGGTGTGGTAAAAAAAGCCAAGGCTGCCCCTGACAATAACCCGCAAACATGAGGGAACGCAACGCATGTAAAAGGGACAGGGCTTCGGTTGCACTGTCACAGCCACCCTCTTGACTTTTCTGGCAGGAAAGGATCTCTTGATAATCACACATATACATAGGAACCCAACTGATCCGTTGCATTCGTCCTGCATCCTATTCTCAGAATGGCCAAGGAGATGTCCCCACGGTCAACCCACAAGCAGCTCACGTCTCCTTCAAGAAGATCTGAAGTCTCGCTGACTTTGTGAACACAGCCCTGGAGGGCTTGTGACCCTACAGAAATAGCTGGCCTTTCCTTTTTACTTCCCAGCCTGCCCTACAGCTCCGGGAACTCCTGTTGGTCTCCCATCCAACTAGAGCAAAAGTCAGGTCTGCTGAGGCAAACAAGCAGGGCGCGATCCTAATCAATTCTTCTAGTTGATGCCCTCTTGCAGCCCGTACTTAAGACCCTCTGCCTCCACTATCAGAAATCCTTCTGCTCCCAGGGGCTGAAGGGACTTGCATGAGACCTAAGAGGGAGGGGGGACAATAAGCCGGTAATTCTCTGCTGAGGAGAAGGTTGGGAGTCATTATATTTCTTAACTTCAGGTTTTTTTCCTTCTCTTTTTTCGTTTCTTGCCCTTTTCTCTTTTTTTCTTTTTGTCTTTTACTCTACGAAAAATTCTTTAAAAATATAAATAACAATAGAAAAGAAGTAATTCTGTTCATGCACAGAATCCCAGGTTTAAAATGATCCCCCTCAGTGGCCCTGGCTCTGTGTTCCGGCTGCGGGTTCCACCGTTCGCGCTGAACTCAGCAGCGTCGGCAGGAGGAATCCAGACGATGTCTGCGATTGCGTAATTGGAACTCGGCTCCTTTTCACATGCTTTGCACATATGGCATGTGTGAAAAAGGGCGGAGCTTCAGTGACACTGTCACAGGTGCCATCCTGACTCTTTGACCCTCTCTGCTGACACCAGCTCTCTGCAACAATGGCAGATGACTGTGACCAGGGCTTCATTGAGGAAGCTCAACCCGAGTTTTGATGAATGGGCTGACCCGTTATGCTAAGCCACAATGCGGTCGGTTTGGTTTCGTTGTGACACATGAACCCCCAGAACTGTGGCTTATTCAACAAATCATGGTTAATGCACACCCATAGTTGAGTAGGACTGCCGGTTGGGCAGCAAACTGTGGTTTAGTGCAATGTGTGAATGGCACAGGGCGCCTCTGTGATTTAGAAAATCACGATTATGGCTTATTCAACAAACCAAGGCTTACCATGACATGCCCCCTTCCCCGCTGCGACCATAACCAGGGTTAAGCAATAACCTTGGCTGGGCACACAACACAATTTAAATTTTCTACAAAGTTGCCTGACATGCATGTTCTGCAAACGCCGCGCATTGGCAACGCTTCCTCAAGATGCTTTCCGATCAATTTTTGAAAACCATCCGCTCAGGCTATGTCAGGGGGAAAAGACACAATCAATAACTCTAATCTGGCCTAGCGGTTAATCAATAGGCCCCCACCACGCAGAACTTGGCCCCCCCACCCCGTGCCCTGCCTTACCAAGAACTCTCCGCATTGGGGGTATATTCAGTCATATCATCCTGGATTGACTGCGGAGAATCCATATCTTCACAATTGGCAGAGGCGCTGCGCGAAAAAGGAACGAAAAATAAATGCAGAGGTCAGGAGAACATCTGAACCCGTTACCGGGTTAGTCCTTCCTCCTTCCCGGGACCGCGAATTAAGATGCAACTTTCCGACCATTCCCAAGGGCTGTGCAAAAGCTAAATGCCAGAAACCGACCCTTGGCAAGTGCAATTTCCTTCGGGAATTCTCAGCAGCAAAGGAGTAACTATAAGCATGTTATTCTGTCATTATTTTATTACTTTATTTAATTATGGTACGGCGCCCAGAGTCACTTTGTGGGAGGTGGGCGGCTATGTAAATGTGACCTATCAATGAATAAAATAAATAATAGGAACAGTTCTAAAATCCTGGTGTGGTTAAATCTGATGCCCCTAACCAAAGCTAAGAGCCCCAGCTCTTTTCGACGTGCACTGACATCCCGAAGGGTGGACATTTCCCTCGTGGATGCCCCAGTAAATAGACGAAGAGTTTCCATTACCTGTAAGTCATTCTTCCACGATATTCTGCATTAGTTAGAGCAGTGTTTCTCGACCTTGGCAACTTTAAGCAGGGTGGACTTCAACTCCCAGAATTCCCCAGCCACCCATGCTGGCTGGGGAATTCTGGGAGT